AGAGAAATCTGGGTAGACTTCTATAGTATAGTGACACTAACTAAACTAGTCAGGAACCCTGACAATAGGCCTTGTTGTGGAGCTGGAAATGCAACATGATTTTCCTAAGCTTCCTTGAAGGCAATGACATTGTCCTTGCGGTTTAATTGATCCAAGAAGACTAAGTCCTGAAACATGGAGGTAACTACCTGATGGCCTAATGCATAAAAACCTAGACCACGTCACCAAGCATTTATTAAGCACTTCTGTGTGTCAGGTACTGTGCTAAATGTTGAGGGTACAAGAAGGGCAAAAAATCCCAAACCAAAAAAAAGAAACCAAACCAAAAAACCAGTCCCTGCTCTCAAGGAGCTCACAGGCTAATGAGGGAGACAATAGGTGAAGAACTCTTTACAAACAAGCTATAGACAGGTTGAATTGGAGCTAATCCATAGGCAGAAAGCATTAGAATTAAGAGGGATCAGGAAAAGCTTCCTATTGAAGGTCAGATTTTAGTTGGGACTGAAAGGAAGCCATGAGATAAAGATAAGGAGGGACTGAGTTCCAGGCCTGGGAGATAGTCAGTGAGAATACCCAGAGTTGGGTGATGGAGTATCTTCTTTGAGGAGCAGTAAAGAGGCCAGTGACACTGGATCACAGAATACTTGGCAGGTAGGAGAGGGAGGAAGGAATAAAGTGTAAGAAAGGTGGGAAGAGGGCAAGTCATAAAGGGCCTTAAAGGGAAACAGGATTTTTGAAATTTATATCTCTGTCTATCTATTTGTCTGTTTATCTATCTATAGATATAGATATACGCATCTATATACATACATATCTATATCTATCTATCTATACATATATACATGTATATATATATATTATATCCTTGAGGTAATAGGGAGCCATAGGATATTATTGAGTGTGTGTGTATGAACTGTTTTAGGAAGATCACTTCCATAGTCTAGTACAAGATGGAACAGAGTGGGGAGAGACTTGTGGAAGGCAGACCAACCTGCAGGCTACGGCAGTCCAGGTGTGAGGTGATGAGGGCCTGCAGAAGGGTGGTGGCAGTGTCAGAGGACAGAGCATATTGGAGATGACCTAAGGTGGAAACCAAAGGGCTCCCCAACAGATTAGATATGGCCAGTAAGAGAGAGTGAGGAGGGTGAGAGGTGGAAGCCCAGTGCCTGGGAGGATGGTGGTCCCTTTGGCAGTGATAAGGAAGTCAGGAAGAGGGGAGGGTTTGGGCAGGAAAGATAATGAGGTTGTATGCCCTGAAGTTTTTGTTGGCCACACTAGCTCACTGGTCACAAGACTGAAGAGGAAACTCCTGACTCTTGGAGTCCTAGCTTTTTGTACTTAGGGTACCGGGAAGAGACATCATTAGTTCTCTCTGAAACAGTTAAGCCTCCAAGATGTTTTCACTGCCTTTTAAGGAAAAACTGGTTTAGGCTTGTATCACAGAGGTGTTAAAGCAGAGACTGGATTAGCACCTCAGGCAGTTTGTGGGCATTCTTTTTTCAGGTAGGGGTCAGAGTAAATGACCACTGAGGTCCTTTCCTTGTATTTCTGTCAATACTCTTCAGTTCTTAAAAATCTAATAAAACCCTTTCCATTGATGCATTTTATTTATTAGCAACATGCTGTGCCTGTGGTTTTGTCAAATTTCACAGGTTCTCTCTTCTTTTAATTGCAAGCTTTTATGTGGATTTTAAGGGCTGGAGATTTAAAAAAAGGTATTTGTTATAGATTAAAACATTGTGTGCACTTAAATAACAAATCAGATTAGTGATTAAGGTTAGGTATCAAACTACTAATGAGAGGCCTAAGTTAGACTTTTTGGGGGCCATATGTTAGAGAAATTCACCTCTGATAAATTTGTAGGGAGGTGGAGTACAGAGCTGTCTAGACTGGGCAGAGATTATGTGACAGAACAGCAAAAACTAAGATTAGGCCATAGGAAGGATGGAAGGAAACAAGCATTTATTAAGTGCCTACGATGTGCCGGGCAAGGTGCTAAGTATTTTCTATGTTATTTGAAGTTCATAACAACCCTTGGAGATAGGTACTATTGTGATCCTCATTTTACAGCTGAGGAAACTGAGGCAGATAGAGGTTACATGACTTGTCCAGGATCACACAGCCAGTAAGTGTCTGAGGCACGATTTAAACTTGGGTCTTCTGACTCCAGATCCAGTGAACTACCTACCCACTTCTAGGTATTTATATGTTTTAATTTCATGGCATTCGTACAATCACTAGGTAACTATGCCTCCATTTCCCTGTTCTGACTAGTCAGGCCCTATGCTAAGCTTGAGGGTGCCAGAAAAATGATCAAAATTTATTTCAATATAGTGTTTTCTCTTCGACAAAAGGGAATGACCACAACATTTGGCTTTTCTGCACTTAAAGCTTCTGTGGTTAGTGAAATGACAGCTGATTTCTTTAGACTTTTCCAAGCTTGGTTCTTCCTCCAAGTTTTACACAAGATAAGATGCAACTGTTGTTGTTTAGCTGTTTTTTCAGTCATGTCTAACTCTTCATGACCCCATTTGGAGTTTTCTTGGCAAATGTAAAGGTGTGCTTTCCCGTTTCCTTCTCCAGTTTATTTTACAGATGAAGAAACTGAGGCAAACAGGGTGAATTGACTTGCCCAGGGTCACATAGCTAGTTGTGTCTGAGGCCAGATTTGAACTCAGGAAGGTGAGTCTTCCTGACTGCAGGCCTGGTACTCTATCCATTGCACCACCTAGCTGCCCCTGAGGTGTAACTAGGGAAGAAAAAAAAGGAGGTGGCAAGGAAAAGGGGGCAGCCATCATGGGTACAGCTTTAGAGGAAAAGATGCAGGAATGGTGTAGAAAACAAGTGAGGATCCCAAGACCATATTCTGAGCTCTTTTGTAACCTTCCTGTGGCCCTGGTTCCCTTTACCCTCACTAACTCTGTATAGCTCAGGACTCCATTGGTCCCAAGGATATGGGTGAACTTGGATACAATTCCCAGATTCAGGTATGATTTCAGACTCACTAGGAGCTACAGCCATGCCCTGGAGTTTGCCCGACTTTGCCCCACCCCAAGCCTCCAGCTCAGGTGCCCAGTATACCTATTTCTAGAGCTCCAAGGAAGGACAGGTTCTTCTGGGAAGCTGGTGCCCTGTACGTACTTGAACTTAGTTCCTAGGTAATTCTTCACCTGTGTGTTTTCTTTCTGGAGTTCTTTTGTATCCTTTAAACCCCAAGCCTGATAGCAAGCTCTTCTGTTCCCTGCTCTTAGAGCTCTTACTTATTAAGACCAATCGAAGAGTAAGTGACCATCGACTCTCCAAAGCATAATATTTGCATAATGAAGGCTGATCTTTTATCTCAGTTCCTGGACAGCCTCCTTTGTGCCTCCACAGTGATATCCCCTGGAGGTCAGTCATCATTATAAATATAGAGGGACTTGTGCAGGAACTCAATTAAGAACAAATCCAAAGAAAGTTAATGCCCCTGAGATTCATCTATTTACTCTCTTAACAAGGAGCATTACAGTGACTGGGAGGATAATAAGATCAGGCTGCATTTGTAAAACTAGCTGAACAATTAGGAGGAGGATTTAATCACAAAATATCTGTCAAAAGAAAGCATCTGGCTCCCTTTATTTATTCTTTTCATAGGTGCTAAAGTGGGTAGGATCTCCAATCTAAAAATGTTGTAAGAAAATATTTCTTTTTTGAGATGAGATGGGGAAAAGTGTTCTCTGTGGCATTGGAAATTATTTCAGTCCTAGTACTCAGTCAGAAGCATTTATTAAGCACCTCCTATTAACCAGTGAGTAGAGTGCTGGGCCCTGGAGTCAGGAGGACTTGAGTTCAGATCTGGCCTCAGACATTTATAGCTGTGTGACCCTAGGCAAGTCACTTCACCCTGTTTGCCTCAGTGTCCTCATCTGTAAAAGGAGCTGGAGAAGGAAAGGGCAAAGCACTCTTGTGTCTTTACCAAGGAAACCCCAAATACGGTCACAGAGTCGGGCCAGACTGCAATGGCTCAACAACCACCATTCGCCAGGCGTTGTGCTTGGTCCTGGGGACCCAGATACAAAATATGGAACAATCTCTGGCATCTTCTGCTTTCTTTAAGAGGCACATTTTGCCAGAGGTATCTGTAATGTGCATTTCAGTAAAGCAAATACTGTTTTCCAAATGGCTTCCGTTATAAAAGTGAACACGAGTTCTCAAGGGTGAAAAAAAAAATCACCTAGTGAACTGAGCTGAGAAATTCTGGTGAGGAAAGGGTAGTCCCTTTGGCACAGTTGATTTGTCTTTGTAAATAGCTAAGCCTTCATGGTTCTTTCCCAGTCTTGAAGTTAGAATCAGAGGACCTGGGTTCAAATCCCAGTTCTGCCACTATTACCTGTGCGACTGTGGCTGAGTCACTCCTCTCTGGCCCTCAGCTTCCTCACTTGTGTAATAAGGAGCTAGGACTAGCTGATTCCAAAGGTCCCTTCCAGCTCGAAATCTGTGATTCTCTGATTCTTCCTTTCCCTTTCTCAGCTCCTCACACACACACACACACACACACACACACACACACACAACTTCTTCAGTAAAAGAAACCAAAATGCAAAGTCATCAGTATTAATACTTGTGCAGGAAGAGACTGCAATTGACTAAAATGAGGTTTGGGGATTATCTGAGGGTTCCAATTATCCTTGGTATACCTGTCACCCATTCCCAGCGAGATGTCTGTGTTCATTAAAAATTAAAGTTAAAGTCTCTTAAAGGCAAGCTCAGATTGCCGGAGTTGAAGAATCTTTTTTAGAGAAAGAAATCCCTGGATAATGCACATATTTTTCAGTATGTATCTCAAGGTTGAATATAAGGAAATAAACCAGAATGCATAATAAAACAGAGAAGGTGGAAGACAAGCTGATGTTTAATGGCATAGGCACTGAGCCATTATGTCATTGGTACAAGGAACTTGTGGGTAAAGAAACTCTACCAGTGTACCTTGTCTGCAATTTATGGTCTTAGAGGGTCACACAGCCAGGATGTGTCAGAGCTGGGGCTTGAACTTAGGTCTTCAAGGCTTTGAGACCAGTTCTCTATACACCGTCCTCTTCATTGTTAATAAGAAAAATCCTAAAAAGTCAATCCAAGCAGTCTCATTAGATAGAAAGCTGAACCTAGCATCAGAAAGACCTGAATTCGAATTTGTCAGAAGACACTTAATAGCTTTGGGACTCTGGACAAGAAAGACCCTTAATTTCTGTCTCAGCTTCCTTGTCTGTAAAATGGGGATAATAATACCACTTACCCATCCAAGGTTGTTTTGAGGATAAAATGAGATAATTTTTGTAAAGCATTTTATAAACTTCAAAGCCCCAGATAAATGATAGCTATTACTGTTATTGATAAGATGGACTTCATGTTATGGACGTAGCTTCTGATTGTTGTGTTGTGTTGATGGCACAACCTGCTATTGATGATGTTAGTGGGCAAAGTTCTGGTTTCTCATGACATTCAACTGCAAACCTACAGCTGTGCTTCCAAGCAGGCCTATCACTATCTCTTTACCTTCTAGAATCCATCAGAATTTGTTTCCCTGATGGTATTGCCCAGAATAGAATTCAGTCATCTGGTTCTTTTTACTTTGTGTAGAAAGTGTGCTCATCCCAGCTAGCCAGCACAGTTTTACTTCTGCAGGAGCTATGCCTTTGTTCTCCATGGAATGGCAAGGTATGTTGCTGAATTCCACCTGGAAATATGTTATTGGCATCCCTTAAGAAAGGCAAGTCAGCAAATAACAGGCCATTTTAACTGTGGATTTAGAAGAAAGCACTGTGAGGCAGAGGGGACACTGGAAATTAGAAAAGCTTAGAAAGATGGATTAGGCCAGTTTTGGCCTATCTTGTGCTTTACTGACAGGAGATTTTGGTGTATAAAAGGATGAAATAAGTTGTATTCCTGTTGCAACTACCAGATCAGGTTTGGTCTTTTTTTAATACTGATCTGAAAATTCTTGGTATCAGTGCATTGAAATTATTTTATTTTGTCTCCAATAAAATTGGTGGAATTTAGAGTTGAAAGTCTAAACACTCAGTAGATTGAGCCTAACTTCAAAATGCTTTGTTTCAAAAACAGGAACCCAAACTTTACCAAATCTGTTGGAGAACCTGATGCATTATACAATTCAGGCCCACTGCTGACTCACATTTACACAGAGCTTTCCAGTTTACAAGGTTTCTGTTCTCAAAAATAAATTTTATTGTTATCTTTTATTTTTATATCACTTACATTTCATATTTCCCAATGTAGCACTTCCTCTCTCCTCCTAAAGAGCCATCCTTTAAAACAAAAAAAAAAATAAAAAAGAGAAAAAAATGTTTAGCAAAACCAGTATAATAGATACCTAACAGCATGTTCAACTTTTCACACCAGTAGTCCCCCACCACTACAAAAAAGTGGGGAACTGACCATTTATTTTATTGTCTATTTACTTATTTTATTTTATTTTATTGTTTTGGCTAGGCAATGGGATTAAGTGACTTGCCCAGGGTCACACAGCTGGTAAGTGTTAGGTGTCTGAGGCTGGATTTGAACTCAGATCCTCCTGAATCCAGGCCTGATGCTCTATCCACCATGCTGCTTAGCTGCCCCTATTTACTTATTTTTAAAGCAGTCATTTAATGTTTTATTCATGGAAGCACAAACTAGTGATTGGGGTGGCTAGGTGGCTCTGCAGTGGATAGTGCTGGGCCTAGAGTCAGGAAGACTCATCTTCTTGAGTTCAAATCTGGCCTCAGACACAACTAGCTGTGTGACTCTGGGCGAGTCACTTTGCCCTGTTGGCCTCAGTTTCCTCATCCATAAAATGAGCTGGAGAAGGAAATGGCAAACTACTCCAGTATCTTTGCCAAGAAAACCCCAAATGGGGTCACAAAGAGTTGGACGTGACTGAAATCAACTGCTGAAATAGTAAGCCATGTAAGTGTGGGTACTTATGCACATGCCCATGCACTATTTATTTAGAAGCAAATACTTAATGATGTAGCTGAGAGGATGGGGATGGAGTAGTTTTGTTTTGTTTTTGTTTTTGCTAGGCAATGGGGTTAAGTGACTTGCCCAGGTCACACAGCTAGTAAGTGTTATGTGTCTGAGGCCAGATTTGAATTCAGGTCCTCCTGAATCTAGTGCCAGTGCTCTATCTACTGTGCCACCTAGCTGCCCCCTGGAATGTTTTTTTTTTTCTGCAAAAAATGTGTGATTTTTTAAAATCAGTTTTCATATTCTAGATCCTTGAGGGATCGAGCATCACTCAGATCCTGTGTCCAATGACCTTGGCAGGAAGATTGCTTCTGAACTTGGCTCAAACCATTCCACTATTTCCATGAGCTAGAGGAACTTTTCCCCAGATAACTCTTGTTCTGTTTGGTTTCCCACCAGGAGTCACTGTGTTGTTTTTGGCTTTGTATACATAAGCATATCTCTTGCCCAAATAGAATGCAGTTTCATCTCGAGCACAGACTCCTTCAACTTTCAGAAGAGCTGTGTGTTGCCTCTGGTTTCATAGGCCTCGCTTCTAGCCAGCAGAAATGGCCTTGGACCACAGTCTTCCAGACATCATGCTGTTCTAGAAGTCCTGTTTCCAGCAGGCCTCCCCAGCTCCAAGATGGAGGAAAAATGGAGTGTTTTTTTTTTTAAACCACTCTTTCCTCTATCGCTGTAAGAGTTTCAAGTATTGCTGATAACCTTGCCTAAACCTTTCCACTCCTCTTTCAGCACCCCTCCATAGCTTTCCTTTAGTTCTTTTCTTAAACTGTCCCTTCCAGTACTTCTCCCTTCACTCCTGCCCCCAACACTGAACCAGTGAATTAAAAGCAAAAAGCCTTCAGTACTTGGATACATAGTCAGGCAAAGCAGATTCACACATTGGCCAGGTCTGAAAATCTGTCTCTCTCTGTATTTTACATCATCTCCATTATGTTTGAAGGTGAGCAGCATGCTTCATCTTCACTGCATTGATTAGAATTCTTGTCGTTCACTTATTTCAGTCATGTCTGACTCTCTGTGACCCAATTTGGGTTGGTGTTTTTTCTTGGCAAAAATACTGGAATGCTTTACCATTTCCTTCTCCAGCTCATTTTATAGATGAGGAAACTGAGGCAAATGGAGTGAAGTGACTTGCCTAGGGTCATGCAGCTAACAAGTATTTGAGGCCACATTTGAACTCAGGACAATGAGTCTTTCTAACTCCAGACCTAGTACTCTATCCATCTTGGCAAAGATACTGGAGTGGTTTGCCATCTCCTTCTTCTGTTCATTTTTACAGATGAGGAAACTGAGGCAACAGAGTTAAGTGACTTGCCCAGGGTCGCATAGCCAGATATGAACTTAAGAATCCCAGGCCCAACACTCTATCCACTTGCAGTGCCACCTAGCTGTCCCTGATCAGAGTTCTAGAATCTTACAAAGTTGCTTTTCTCTACAATGTTATTATCATTCTATAAATTGTTGTAACTTTGTCCACTTGCTTCACCATCAGTTCACAGAGGTTTTCCTAGTTTCCTCTGAAATGGTCATTTTCGTTCTTTTTTATGTCACAGTACTATTCCTTTACATTCATATGTCACAATTTGTTTAACTATTCCCCAATAAGACACTCCTTTATTTTCCTAGCATTGGCTGCCATGCCAAAAGCTGCTAGAAACATTTTAAGTCCTTTTCTTCTTTCTTTCATGTCCTCTACTTCACAATGATTTATTTTAGAAATAAAAGCCTAAATTTTGCCAACTTTGTCACAGAACCAGGTGTACTATCTGATTTAGACAGTACTAGCTCACATTTACCTAGAACATTTAAATGTACAGAATAGTTTGGTTTTTTTAGTTTAGTAGTATTTTGGTTTTTATGTCACCTACATTTCCCAATATGTCCTTCCCCCAACCCTTGCATAAAGCTCTCCCTTATAACAAAGTATATAAAAGAAAAAAATGCGTTAGTAAAACTATCCAAAATGTGGACATATGTTCTGCATGATTTCATATGTATAATGGATTTCTTGCCTTCTCAATAAGTGAGGGAAGGGACAGGAGGAAAAGACTTAAGAACTGAAAATAAAAATGTTTAAAAATTTAATTTAATTTTAAAAACGTAGCCAATCCATCAAAGAACCCTAGTGTTCCATATCCGTTGTCCTCCACTTCCGTGAAGAAGGTAGAAGAGGTGCTTTCTCATATTTCTTCTTTGGGGCTATGCTTGGTCATTATGATAACATAAAATTTAGTTTTAATACTTTGGTTGTTCTTTCCATTTGTGTTATTATAGTCATGCATATTATTTTCCTGATTCTACATATTTTAGTTTGCATTAGTTTACTGAAGTCTTCCAATGTATCTCTGTGTTGATCTTCTTCATCTTTTCTTACACCATTGTGATTTTCCATGACAGTCATGTACTAAAGCTTTTTTAGCTACCCCTCAATCAATGGGCATCTACCTAATTTTCAGAACTCTGCTACTTTAAAAAAAATGCTACCATAAATATTTTGGTATACAGGATGCCTTTCTGTTTGGCATTGACCTTCTTGGGAATCTTTCAGTCAAAGGGTATGGAGAGTGCAGTCCATTTCTTAGTATAACTGTAAAATGCTTTTTTTTTTCAGAATAGTTCAATCAATTCATAGTTTAACTACCAATGCATTAATGTGCCCATCTTAGAACAACCCATCCCAACATCGACTATTCCCATCCTTTGTCATTGTTAATTTGCAGAGAGTGAGTTAACATTTCTGGAACTCTAACAAATAATGGTGAAGACAAGGGACATCCTTTTTTTAATTGCTGTGATTTTGGAGGAAACATGTAGAATTCCACTTTATATGAAAACCTTTAAATAATATTTTAAATGATCCTTTTATAATTATGGTTTATAGTCTTATTAGCATAATTTAGTCTTGTACTTTGTCGAAAGCTTCTTTAAACAGCTATTGATATAATCATGTGACTTAGGATGTTTTTGTTTTTAATATGATTAATTATGTTAACTGTTTTACTAATGTTGAATGATCCTTGAATCTTTGGTATATATCCAAATTGATTATAATGATTTTTTAAAATAAATTGCCATAATATTTTTGCTAAGATTTTATCTAAAATATTTGAATTGATATTCATTACTGATATTTGTTTATAGTTCTCTTTCTTTGCTTTAGCATTTCTTCTTTTAGGCACTGGAACTATATCTGTCTCACAAAAGGTGTTAGGTAGTGATTACTTTCTCATTTTTTTGTGAATAATTATGTGCTATAGGTTTTAATTTTTCCTTAAGAGTTTGCTAGAAATTTGGTGTAAATCCATCTGACCCAGTTTTTTGTTTACCTTTGGGAAATCCTTTGTAACTAGTTCAATTTCTTTTTTCTAAAAGTGGATTATTTAATATACCTATTTGGGATTCTGTTAATATGGATATTTTACATTTTTGTAGGTAATCCTTTATTTCCTTTGCATTGTAGAATTCTGCAGGATTGCTGTTGTTCAGTTGTGTCCAACTCTTCATGACCCCATTTGGGGTTTTCTTGCCAAAGATACTGGAGTGGTTTGCCATTTCCTTCTCAAGCTCATTTTACAGATGAATTGAGGCAAACAGGGTTAAATAATTTGCCCAGGGTCACACAGCTAATAAGTGTCTGAGGCCAGATTTGGACTTGAGACAATGAGTCTTTTTTTGACTCCAGGTCCAGCACTTTATCCACTGCTCCACCTAGCTGCTCTCAATTCTGCAGAATAGGTTCTGATAGTTTTAAAAGTCTCTTCTGTCTTTGTGATTTCATCTTTTTCATTTTTATTGTTTTCCTCTTCTTTTTAATCAGGCTGACCAAAGGCTTATCAGTTTTGTTTTTCAAGAATAAGTTTTTTTTTTCATTGAATTAATTTATTTTGATTTATCAACAATCACTTCCATAAGCTTTTTAGTTTTAAATTTTTCTTCCCTTCCCTCCCTACCCAAGATGGCATGCAATCTAATATAGGCTATACATATACATTCTTTTTTTGTTATTTGTTTTTTTAGTGAGGCACTCAGGGTTAAGTGACTTGCTCAAGGTCGCACAGCTAGTACGTGTCAAGTGTTTGGTCTGAGGCCGGATTTGAACTCAGGTCCTCCTGACTTCAGGGCCAGTGCTCCATCCACTGTGCCAACTAGCTGCCCCTATATACATTCTTATTAAACATATTTTCACATTAGTGATGTAAATAAGAATTAGAATTAATAGGAGGAACCACCAGAAAGAGGAAACAAAACACAATAGAAGAAAAAAAATAGCAAATAGTATGCTTTGATCTGCATT